GGGGGGGGGGGGGGAGTCGAGGTGCCACATGTGGATAAATTTATATGCATGTGGAAAACATACTGTGTCATTTTAAACAGCATACTTCCACAGTGGTGTGAGCATATGATTATATAAGGCTATCAACTTATGAGTCAGACACCCCTGATTTCATTCATAGAGAGATGTTGGTCTTTGTGAAAGTACAGCGTGTGTGTATCCGTGCATGCGCATAAGTGAGTTAGTGTGTGTGTGCGTGAGTGCATTTGACAGGCAACCACCCTTTTCTAAATGAGATTAAATAGGAGGTTTGTCTCTAATCGTGTTGTAATGAGTTTCTGTGTAGCTCATACATTTACTAATTCCACTTGCCAATAGTGCAAACAGCCATGTGCGCATGTGTGTATACGTGTGTGTGTGTGTGTCTGTGTGTGTGAGGTAGGAGAGGTCACCTCCCTGCAATCTTACTCTCATTTATAACAATAGCACTGAGCTGTCCTCATCAAAGAATTGCAATTTCTGAACACAAATAACATTAGCTCATGTGCACAAACATGCACACATGGACGCTCACACACGTGCGTGGGCACAAGAGCAAAACGCGCAGTCCATCTGGGTATAGATCTGTGTGTCATTAGAACTCTCAACAGGCATTAGCATTGATCATCTGACCAGCAGATGGAGAGTGACCGACAAGAGCCAAACAAAGCTGGTCAGACTGTCTGTGTGAGTGTGGGTGAAGAGGTTTGAATGACAGGAGAGAATGTGTGTGTGAGAGGTGAGCGTGCTCAATGTGGCCAAATGGCAAAAAAAACAACTCAAGATCCATAGTTCATTAGCCCTCACACCACTGATTCACCTCTATGTGTGTGTGTGCGTGTGCCGAGCTTCGAGTGTGTCTATGCGCATAAGAGTGACCATAAATCTTGACCTACGAGCAGCTACGGGTAGTCATGGCTACGCAGTCACTTTCAGCCCCGCGGCTTCGCATGCCCTACAGTAAAGGAGTCAAGGGTCAGAGCAGTTTTGTGCAGTGGAACAGACTTTTAGAGCGGCTAATAAACCAGGAAACCAGTAACAAGGAACACATCGTCGCCTTTCACCTTTAACCTTTGATCTTGTGGCCCTCGAAAATGTCAATGATAACTGCACAGCACACGCGGAGAACACTCGAGCACCCTAATACCTGAAGCTACATGGACCTCACGTGCACCTCACAGGGGCGAGGGAAGGGATCAAATTTAATTGAAACATCTGCATATCTGATCACATTTACTGTGTAGTGCACACGCCCAAACATCACGAGGAAACCACAATGGGATTTCATTATTTTTATGGCCAAAATTATGCAGACACCCAAACACTATAGTAATATAGACCCTTTTACAGTTTGTAAATGATGATGATAATAACCAACAAATATCACGAATGCAACCTAAACAATACAACGGTCCAGATCTGTGTGCTAGTAGTGAGTGGGTAGAATTAATTAGCGGCCAGTTATATACATGTATGCTTAAAATACATTATTTGTGGTCATGTACAGAACATCGAATACCCTGACATTGACTCAGAGTTTTGAGTTTATTGAGCTTTTAAATCTGTGCTACAAACACCAGCATGTTTGA